TTGGGTCGTAAGACTTAGTGCCTATGTACTCCCACGTAAAATGGGAAATTCAGAGCACCGTAGTTAGGCTAGAAAAGAATTGTCAGTTGATTGATTTTAAACGAAGAGTCAAGTCGTCATTGTTAGGATAGAAATCTCGACTAACGCCTATAAGGTGTGGGACGGATGGACCCTGCGTCAGCAAGAGTGAGAGTTTGAGAAAGCCTTTAGTACTCAAGTGGAAAAGTCGACACCTTTATAACCATGGGGATATGAGAATGTTGCTCGACTATCAATAAATCATGTCTCCTCTTGAAAAAAAGTTTTGAAGGATAAAAGTGCTCGAGCGTACAAAAGAGTTTGAATGAGTTGAAGTGTTTTTTGTTAATTTTGAAAAATGTCAAAGTATGATTAAGTGATTTAAAGTTTGTTTAAAGAAAAGAAGTTTTAAAAGTAAAGGCACTCAAAAAAGTCGAGGTTTAATATGAAAGCAGTTCGAGTTTATAAATAAAGAAGATTTTGAAAAAGATGAGAAGATTTTGAAAATTAAAGAAGATGGAAGGAGATGAAGGGACTATCCTAAAGCATAAGGTAAAAGCTAAGGAAGAGAACCGTCTAACCAACAAGAAGCCAAAACTTAACATTATGAGTCAAGATAGAATTCCTATTCTTTGGATTGAAACCAAGCAAGGATTCTAAACCTCTTGAGAAAACCAAGCTTTAATTGCATTAAGTATTCACGAAAATTGGACAGAGTAACGGCTGTATACAGATGAATTCCAGATTACAGACAAAATATGTAATCAAAATAACTTGCACACAAAACAAACAAACAACCCAATGTATTGGGTTAACCCCAAGAACTCCATAAAAAATATCAATTAAGGTCACAAAGTCTCCAACATAAGCAAATATTTCTATTTCTAAGTCCAAGAAGTCCAATACTCCATAATGTCAAGGATAGTAACCAAGTAGTCCAAGTATCATTAATTTTTTTTAGGGTTCATGTTGATTATTAAGTGTCTTCAAAAGGAAAATAAAAAGCTCAAGTGAGCAAAATAAAAATGGCATAAAAGTAAATGCTCAAGTGAGCAAAGATGAAAATAGCATGAAATATAAATGATAGAGTAAATGGTGCATAAAGTAAAGAGCATAAAATAAAAGTGTAAAGTAAAGTCAATAGTTAGAAATTAGTGGTTAGTTTGATGACCATCTTGAAACTTGCATTTGGAACTCATTAGAGGATTGATAGAACCAAAGCCTCTAAACAATAAGTTGCATTTGATTTTTGTCAAGTATATCATCCATTTAAGAATCCTCAAAGCAACATTTAATGATCAACGATGTTTAAGTGATCCACATTGACCAAAATTGATGAAGATCCATAGGAGGATTGGTAGAACCAAAGCCTCCTAACAAAGAATATCAAGGTTATTGGATCAAAGGGTTCAAATTAACATACTTGGGCTTGCAAACATAAGTGGACTTATGTAGAAGTCGGGACAAAATTTTCTCGAATCGGCCACGAATGATCATTTTCTTGAATCAGGATAAAATTTAGCGCTATGTTAAGCAATCGTAAGTGGACTTATGTAGAAGTCGCACCTATTTTGAGGCAGGTCAATAACAATCTATGTACTTCATGTTTGGATAAATGATATAGAGATCATCATCCCAAAACATTTAGCATAAATAAAAAAGAAAGGGATAAGATGAAAAGGAGGGGAATGATAAGATAATTTGGATCACTACCTCAAATTTCTTTCATCTTAAAATTCAATCACTCATCTCGATGGATTAAAGTACTAAACATATCATTAATCCAAAGCACCAAAAATGAATTAAATAATTCACTCTTCGGTAGATTTGAATTAATGAACATTTATCCAACTTCATCTACACCCAAAGTCTATTGAATTTAAAGAGAAATTGGACATTTAAAATTGCAATCCAAATCAACAATCAAAAGGAGTGAGTAGAAAAAGAGAGATGGATCAAAACAGCCCCAAAACAAGGCAGAAAAAGCATTTTGTCTCTGTTACAATTGATTGCACTAATGATGCAATCGATTACATCCGTGTTTTTTTCTCCAAAAAATATGAAACTTTGTTGTGACAATCGATTGCACTATTACAATAATCGATTGCACCCTGTTAAAATCAGAAAACAACATTTTAAAAGGCCAAATTCTTGATCAAACTTCTCATCAAATACCTTATGATCATGGATTCAATTGAGCACAAAAATTCCATCAAATTATGAGAAAATAGCACCAATGGAATCACAAGACAATGCTCCATGAATCATACCCAAAGATCAACAAGAGATCACATTGTGAAAGATGAAAAGTTCAACTTACCAAAGGTAGATCTAGAGAATTATCAAAACAACTTCAAGAATTTGCTTCAATTCAACCTCAAGAATCAATTGCTCAAGCTTGGATGTAGATAATTGATGAAGAAAAAGTGTTTGGATGAAGGTTTAGCTCAAAGATTCGTAAGCTTCAATGAAAAACTTACTAACTTTTTTGAAAAAGGAGCTTTGAGTGAATTTGGTAGATGGAGAGAATTGAGAGATTTTTTAGCAAAATGAGTTTGTCTATCAAAAGCTTGAGATTTAAATGAAATGAGAGCTATATTTATAGAGTTTAGGCTTGAGATTAGTGGTGGTTTGGTAATTAATTCTTGAAGCCAAAATTTGAATTAATGATATATCTTTCAAAAAAAGAAAAATTGGAGCCAAAATTTGAATTAATGATATATCTTTCAAAAATGTAGAAAAATTGGAGCCAAAATTGACAAGCTTGAAATTGCTGATTTTTTTCTCAAAATTTCACTCTTTGCAATCGATTGCACTCTAGGAGCAATCGATTGCATCAATGTTTTTTTTCAAATATTGCGCCAAATGCACTTTGTGCAATTGATTGCACTCTAAGAGCAATCGATTGTACAGTGAAAAAAATGAAATTTTTGATTATTTTCCTTTGCAAATAAAGATTTTAGGGAAATAATACCGGAAAACCTTATTTTTCAGATGCTTTGACTCGGTACCTACAAAACACAAATATACAAAGACAAATATTATTTTTTTGCATTTTGATTAGAAGTTAGTCAACAACACAAGAGCAAACTTAAATATAGGATAAAAATGTGATAAATGCAGCTATTTATTAATGAATGTGGCCAAATGACAAAATATAATATGAAAGTGCGACTGAAAAAGTTAGGGGCAAAATTTAGGGTACAATAGCTGCCCCTATTTAATTATCTTTTTGCCAGATGGGTGGAAAGTAATTAAATACAAATAGACCTGAATTTCGTCCCTGGTGCGATGAGATGATAGCATATGTTATGAATGAATGTATGGACTCTTTTTTAACATATATTTTTTTGAATGATGCATGAGATGAGACAGACTGTGGGAATATGGAAAGACTTGAAACTGGAAACTTATGGTAGTTCAGATGGAATGACGTGGAAAGACACGTTAAGGAAACAACAAGATATTTCTTGATATCTGTCAAGGTGACAAAGAGTAACCATCAATACTTGGAAAAAAGAGATAAAACCCGAGAACGCAAGCAGCGACGTCCAAGAATGGCATTGAATGAGGCGATAAACTCTCTTAAAAAATAATCAAAAGCATCTAGAAAAACATTAGATGTGGGATGAGACCGAATCTGAAGTTACGTCAGAGTCGTCCAAGAAAGACTGTGATATGGTGGGAGAACTGACTTGATTGTTTTGCGTTTGATCGCAAATGTTGCAGTTAGCAAGAGTCGCCACCGACTTTTCTTTTATCCAAAAGGAAAGGTGAAAAAGCACAGGAAATACCTTTGAGATTATTTTCTTGAGTTCGGGGGTAGTGTTGTACCCTAATTTTTGCCCCTAAGATCCCTCATTATACTTCGTACATTTCACACATAGCATCGGTCTCATGGTTATAAGATCGAAGAGCTTTGGCATTAGGGTTTCTCTCTCTGAATGGAGGTAGGTCGCTTCAAATGAAAAGTGACTAGAATCTGTGGATTTAATTGAGATTGAGGTACATAACCTTCATTAGGTCATCTGACGCATCATGCATCATTAATCAATAGTTTGGCTTTAGATCAGGGATTTCGAGGAATTAGGTTTGTTGAATGGATTTAAGGCTCTTATCTTTGAACAAGTTTGTTTCGGTTGATTTCTCCATCAATCGTTTGTTCAAATTAGGATTCTTTATTTCCTGGACTTCTTTACCATCAAACTACAGGGATATTCTCTCCTCAGCATCAGGTTTCCATCTTTCTTCAGTGCTTAAGAATTAGGGTTTTCTTCTGTTATGCTTCAACTAGGGATCATTGGATTAGGGCTCGATCTTGTGGTTATCTTGAGCTTCTCCTTCTTCAACATTGTGGACTTGTTTTGAATGATACAATTTTTGGTTCTCATCAAATACTTGTTACTTCAATTACAAGTTAACTTAGATTACTGAGAGAAATGACTATTGACTTGGATTCATTGCAACTTCTAATTGTGCTCGAGATTGATATTGGTTGAAGATCTCAATTTCATGATTTGTCAATGGTTGATTCGAGATAAGATTGAAAGACTCATGTAGTTCAAGTTGCCATCTTCAAGTTCGCTTAATTCATCTCCCATTATTCAAATCTAGGCATGACATATAAATGGATTTGGATTCAATTCTTTATGAGATATCAAATTGGATTCAGGCTTTGAAGCTAGGCGTCCCATGATAAAGGTCAACATCAATTTGGGGAAGTAAATTTTTGAACAAAGTTCCATTTAAATTCATGATTGTTTCATTCAAGTTACAAGCATAATGGAGAGAAATTAATTTAAATTTGAAATCAAAGTCTCCATTATAAAAAGCCAATTCAAAGCACGGTAGCTCATTCAAGTTCAGAACACAAAGCTAAAAGTCAAATACATACAACATCTAAGTTCCATCCAATTACATTCACAATTACACAATTTTTTTTCTAGGCCTAACTCCGAACTTCAAGGTGCTTTGCTTTATCTTCATGATTTTAACTTTCTATTGCTCCTTTCAAAAGGTCTTTCCCCAAGCTCTGTGGGCCAATTAAATCATGTTTAGAACAGCCCCACGCTTGTTGGAAAAAGTGCAAAAAAAAAGAAGAGCAATTATAAAATTTGATTGCATTATGCAGCAAAGAAGATCCTATCACATATGCTGATATGCAATCAAGAATGAATAGGTCAATGGATTTAGTCAAATGAGAAGAATGACATATATGGGTTGACCAATCTACTGCCAAGAGTCATAAAAATAGGTGTGAAGTGTATCTATAAAACAAGGTGAAATGAGAAAGGAGAGATTGAGAAGTATAAGGCTACTTACAACAACATGGTATAGACTAAAATTAATTTGTGTACCTATTGTTTTAATATGGGATACTATAATGGCTATCTTGTTTCGAGAAACATGCAAAAAGTGACAAAGCCTGTAACAAATTCCCAACAGCCTCTAACAAAAACTTATAACAGTTTCCTAACTTCCTGTAACAGCCCTGCATAATTTCTTTCCAACTAACCTCTTTCCTAACCAATTACATAGCCACCAAAACAAAACTCCTTAACTGTTTTTCTAAGCCCAACTAACTTCTAACAATTCTAACCAACTATAATAACCCTGCATAACAGAACCAATGAAAAAAAAACCTCTAACTGTCTCTAACGATCACCCTAACAACCTCTAACAGTTTTCCAAACAGAATAACAAAAAGGGAGGGATGATGCATTCATAGGGGCATCTCAACAGAATAACAGAAAACATAGGGAGAAGAACTGACCTCTAGATGATTCTCTGAAAAATTCCTCTGCATATTCTTCATCACTCTCTTCACGATTCTTGAACCTTCCACGATTTTTCATTCATCAGAAGAATCAACAAATCTCAGTCTCAATTCTTTCTCTGTCTGAAATCTCCAGAACCCTTTCTTCATCACCCATCACATTCTGTGATTTTTTTTCTCGATCTACCGCTTCAATCTGCAACTGTTACTGCATCGACTTCGACACGCATCTTCATTCAATTGCATCAACACTGCACTGCAACTTAGTTTGGCGTCAACAATAATCAACATCAATGCTTCTTCATTAACCTGCAAAGAACACATCAACAACAACAACGCTCAGCATCGTAGCCTCAAAACATGGTTTGGTCGAGTCTCCGATCCTCGTCCTCAATGAAACCGCCGTTGGAATTTCACGGGTAACCTCGCTTCTCCAATGTTTTCTGAAACCTTTGATTTGAATTTATATACGGAGTTTGAGTTACGAAATTGAGATGACGAAGAGGTTGTCTACGATGCTGATTTCGAATTGACGGAGGGATACAATTATTCAACACAGATAAAATCTCAGAAAGAAACTCGCCAAGAAAAAAACACAAGACACTTCTCAATTCCTCTCCCTGCAATTTCTTAAACCGCAAAATATCACTACTCTGCTTCAATCTTCATTGGTCATCATCATAATTCTACACAATCAGGGAAGAATCACAAGAAGAGCTCCAACAAATTCCTCAGCGGTCTCACCGCGTCTTCTTCAAGCTTCGACGCTTCAAACGACACCATGCTTCAGTACTATATCAATGATTCAGTAAATATTCATCATCAATATGGCGATCCAACGATTCTTCATGAGTCTTCAATATTCCAAACATCTTCAATCTTCATCATCCCGCCAAGGCTTCATAACAAATCTTCGATTTCTTCGTGTCATCGTCAACACTTCACTACACAGATCAACAACAATGATATCAATAGAAACGCAAAATTACAAGGATCATTTGGAATCTGAAAATATCAATAGAAGACACAGATATTCTTTGGACTTCTGGTCATATTTGACGGTGTCTGAAGCACCACCGAAGTATCTCTGGTAGGTTGAGCGATTCGGAAATGGTCCACGGAGGAGGTGATGAGGTTGAGATGAGACAGAGAGGGCTATCAGAGCACGACAGTGCTAAAGATTGAGAGGCGGAAGGATGAAGATCGTTCGTCGCGCCGTCTGAGCATGAAGAAAGGGAGAAGAGGGTTTGTGAAGTGGAACAGACACTACTTCACCCTAATTTCATCATTCTATCCCTTTTTTTAATTGTTTTATTTTTTATTTTTAATAATCCAATAAATTTCTAATTGTAAAGATATAATAATGTTAAAATAGGGGACAATAGGAAATGTATTGGGCTGGATCGAAAACCACAATTCCCTTGCTAAGCCTATACGCCATTTTTGGCACAATTGAGAGATGAAGGATAAAAAAAAAGCTTACTGGACCATTGAATAGGCCTAGGCGCCAGCTTACTGAACTACACGCTTTTCCAGTTCACTACACCTCACAGCTAATTCTTAGTTTCTTTTAAAAATTTTTTTTGTAAAACAATTAATTTTGATATTTCCCCTTACAAATTTTGACTGAAATTTTGTGTAGATATTAACATGTTGATTTTTGACTTGGTGATATTTTTTCCATAATTTTTTTTATTGTTATTAGTTTAGGAATTAATTAAGCTAATGCTTGTCATATGTTTAGAATCAAGGTTTTAATGCATTTTTTTGTCGATCTCGTATCCTCGACTCAATTCCCTTGGCATGATCAATGGTTTAACAAAATTTCCAATTATGTACCGCCTTCGCGACATGCATTTTCCTTTATCTTAATTGGATATTGTTTCTGACTTTGTTTGTTTCTTGGTGAAGCTTGCTCGACGTGTACTCCCTGCTTCTTCAGTGCTTTTGTTTGTTCTTGATGACTTATCTGCTTTGGTAGCCTCCGCCACTACCCTTGTACTTCTCTGCACTTTATCGCATTTTGTTATCGCTTTCTAGATATCTTGAGAAGTAGGAAATAAAGAGAGTTCACTCGAAGTCGTAGTTTAAAGATCTGTAGCATGCATTTCGCACTTCATTGGCTATATGTGTTGTGGTTGTGTTTGTTCACTTTCTTGATTGATCGATGAGTCACTCAATTTAGCAATTGAGATCATGACTTCGCTCTCAGTGCATGCTCCCTATAGGACTTTATCGCTTTCTGTTATTTCTTGTTGATCGATGAGTCACACAATTTAGAAATTGAGATCATGACTTTACTCTTAGTGCATGTTCCCTATAGGATAGTTTTGTTAGACTTTCTTTGGCATGCTAGCTTAGATAGGATCCCCCATAGTATGATAAGATTAGGTTAGAGATAGGTTAGTCTCCCTTAGATGTTTTCTTCCCTTTTTGCATCATTGCACTTAAAACTAAAACTTCTTCTTTTTTCTTGGCAAATGTATAAAAAATGCTAAGAATACAAAAAATATTTTCATAGTAAAAAATACCAACCAACCCATTTCTTTTCGCCATTCGGCTTTTCTCTTCTAAGAGCATGTTAGCTCATTTCCACTACAGGTCATAAGTCTCCAAAGGTCGAGCAGCGGTAGAATGATTGAATGCAACATTGTTCATTAAAAAAATACAAACAAACAAAATATGTGAGTCGAACTACGGTAGCTCTGATTCCTCAAAAAGGATACATAGGCATTAGGGTAGGGCCCAAGCGAGTATAACTTTATTTTCCCTACATTCTTTCTCTCTTCTTTGCATGCATTCCCACTTAGTTTATAATCCTTAAGCATTAGATTGAACACACCCTTTGATTAGAATAACGAGAGTGGATCCCGTAGAGTACTATGGACGTGTGGGGTACTAATACCTTCCCCTCGCTTAATCGAATCCCTTACCCAATCTCTCGGTCGCAAGACCTTGATTTCCCCTTTAGGTTTTTCTTCGATGATTTTCCTTTCCCTTTCATATAGGATGAATAAATACTCGGTGGCGACTTTATTGATTTTACCGCTACAGGTAGATTATGAAAAGGGAAGGTATTAGCACCCTTCTCATCCATGGTTTTCCATGGGCTCTTAGTTACTTGCTAGATCACTTGCTTTTGTTTGAAATTGTGCTTTTGTATGGTTTTTGAAAGTATTTTTTAAAGAGTCCATTGTTTACGCAAACTTTGTAATGATTCTCGTTTGTAAGAATGTATACAAAGATGTTGATCTTTTGAAAATGTTTTCAAGTTTGTAAGATGTTTTGAAAGTGTAGGTGTTTGTTTTTGAAAATAGCAAGGATGTTTTGTTTTGAAATGGAGCAAGTAATTAAGAGCATTCTACCTACTCAAAAGTCTTTCACAGTCCTTTGAGGTGGTTCTCCTCTGGAAATCAGGACTTGCATCATCTCAGTAAGTTTGGCCATTCCTGACTTCAACTTATCGATTTCCATTATGACTTCCATGTTGCGTTGTTCTTGGTTTTCCATTCTCAATCTGACAGCAGCTCTAGTCCCGTAGTTGTGTTGAGGAATCAACTTGACGGTAGATGACTAAATGGAAGAAAGAAGCAACTGGGAATAAGATCCTTGTTGTACCCCAAAATTTTCCCTCTCATTTATCAACAATTTTCTCACAAGATTTTCTTTGGCTCAAGATTGCACTAGGGTTGATCAGCTCAAGACACCTCCTTAAGCACTAATGACCAAAATTAGGGTTTGAGTTTGCACAAGGATTTTTGAATTTCCAATGCCCCATATGACTTTCATAGATAATTATGGATCCTCAAGATTACTCATGTCATGTTTCAAGCTTTGGATCACACTTTTGCTCAGTCATTTGAGTAGTTGACCTAAAAATCAACTGTATTGGGGAAAAAGTCAACTATGGCCAATTTACAGTCAAACTTCATAATTTTTTATCCACATCAACATTTTAAACTCATATGTATCATTTGATCAAGTTTGGACCATAATTCCTCAAAAAATTTGATCAAATCTCCAAAAGGGCAAAATGGTCAAAATTAGGGTTTTGACTGGGAAAGGGTAATTTCTGATTTTTGACCTAGCAAATGATCAATTGATTTAAGGAATGATCTCAAGAGTATAATTGAATCATTTTCACCTAATGACATGGCTCAAAACATTGCTCAAGACCAATGGATTGACAAATGAATTTTCAGTCAATTGATCAAAAGTCAACTGTATACTGAAAAGTCAAACTTTGACTTTTTGGTCAAATTCAAATGTAAAAGATCACAATTCATCAAAGCATGTCAAAATATGAAACTTATTCATCAAGAAATCAAAAATTCAAGATTTCATTTTGAAAAGTTAAAATTTCTAAACTTAGAAATTTTTCTAAGTGTTGGAAATTTCTTATTTTTTCACAACTTTGAGCAAATTTTTCACCATGATGCAATCTGATTCAGAAGAAACTTCCAACATGAATTTTTTAGATCTCCATGAAATCTACAACTTTTCTTCACACAACTCTTTCCAAAAGTACTTGGATCTCAAGTTATAATTTTAATAATACATGGTCATGAAACAAAAACACTTTAGTGAAATTTTGCCCTAATTTGGTCAGGATTTTGACCTAACTTCATGGCACTTTTTCATATAGTTCCAAGGGGAATTTTAAAAAGTGATTCAAAGATGGATTGTATATAACATTTCAAGCTTTCCAAAATGTCCAATAACTCCTTGAGATCATTTTTGAGTACGGAGAATCGAAGAGATGAAGTTAGGGTTTTATCACTTGAATTACAAGTCATTTTGTGATGAACAAATTTAAAATTCAAAGTTATGCTGCATAACCTCTACTTTGCAGGCCTCAAACTTGTTAGGCACTCCATAATTAATTGCTTGCACAGCTGTTAGAGGTCTCATTTCAAGCATTCAATGCAAGGCCATGCTTTATATCCATTTTGGAAAGAAAGTGCACATTGCCATTTTGATAAAGTGACTTTTTGCACAAAACTTGTTCTTGAGCCTTGAACTTGTTCTTTTCTGATCATACATGTCTCATAACACAAGAGAAATGGTTTAGACACTTACAGTCACCCAGCCCATGCTTGTACTACACATTGAAACTTGGTTTCCCACTTTTCTTGAATATCAAGTAAAATAGCAAATAACTTGTAACTTGTACTTATGACTTTCAAAACCAATCAAACCTCTTTGCTTATAGATACACAAGCCATTTTCCACAAAAACCCACGCAGGCTTGACCCCTAAAAACACCAAGAGCTCAGAACTGCATCACATACCTCCATTGTTGCCTAACCTGATCAAAAGTTTGAAACTCACATCTCCCTCGTGTGTTTTCAAGCCTTTTGGTTCCTAAAGTTTCTAAACATTATTTAGAACTCATCCCACACCCTGTTACAATACTGTAACACCATTAACACCATCCTCCATTTTCAAAAACAGAGCTTTGCACTTGGACTTCTCCAGAACTCCTCAGGTACTTTCAGCTCAAGCTAAGCATCCCATTAGCTTCCTGGGAACTTGAGGAAGCTAACCCAATCATTGGAACTCACTAAAAGCTTCTCAAACTCCAAACTCGATACTCTCTTGCAAGGTAAGTTTTCTGACTTTGGAAATTTTCATACAGGCATCATGAATGGTTTATTTGTGAATTAAAAATGTAGATATCATTGCCCTAAAGCTAACCATGTCCATAGTTTTCATTAATTTTGTTTGAACTTAGAGAATTTTAAGATTGAAGTTCCTGAGATTTTTAGGGTTCAGATTAGGGCCATTAAAATTCATGCTTATATTTGATCTATAATTTTATTGCTTTGCATTTCTGAAATCGTAAGGAAATTTGCTACAAGTTTCCTGTTTACAGTTTTCATTTTTGTTAAGATTTGAATATGATACAGAGGCTCTGGCTGGGCGTGAGGTTGAAGATGATGTTCAGGCCATGGACTTATTTACTATCATATATTTGTTGTTTTGATTATATAAACTGATGTATAGCCACCCCAGTGGTAGAAGCGCGCGCCTGTGACTTGAGGGACCTAGGTTCGAGCCCTAGTGGTACCCTTTTGATTTTTTTTTCATATTT